CCCCCCCCCCCCCCCACCCCCCGGACAAAGGAAGTCCGCCTTCGGCAACCATCCAACACGCCCCCCAAGGTCGGCGGATTTTGGCACGGCTCAATCAATGACAAGTCTCTGGGCAGTTCTTGGAAGAAAGTTCAGCTAGGGGCAGAAGACAACGAGCTTCAAGCATAGACTTTGGAATTTCAAGATCTTGGAGTTTTGCGGCTTTAGGGCTTGGAGGGTGGTTTGAGGAGCAGTGGTGGCAGTACCCTCCAGATATGGAATCCCGGCCTACAACTTCATGATAGCCATATTAGGAGAGCTAGCGGCTAGACGCAGTTTAGGGTTTAGGGTTGGGCTTAGGGTTGAGGGTTTAGGGTTTAGGGTTTAGGGTTGAGAACCCCTACAGCCCTAAACCGTCATAGTTCCCCTTAAGTAGATAGAAATTCGGTATATTATAATACAAGATCCCCATATATCCGATATTCTATCTACTTAAGGGGGACTATAGTCCTAAACCCTACACCCTGAACCCTATACATCCCATATTCTATCTACTTAAGGGGGACTATAGTCCTAAACCCTGAAGCCGATTGCAGGCTGTTATCACCGGAGGATCAGAGCAAGATCTGGTCTACAGTTCACTCACAGTTCGCAGGGGCAAAGGACCGTGGAACCTTTTGACCCAAGGGCTCTGCTGCAAATCCTAAGGGTACTATAGCATGATGTCCTCCCAAACACCAACGACGTCATTACAACAAAGCACACGGGCGTCTCTAAGTCGTGCTTGAAGATTTCGTGATTGAGGGTTCAAGGCTGTGATGGAGCCTGTGTAGTGGTTTCGCAACGGGAGTGGCGGAGGGTTTCAGGCGTTTAGCATTAGTCCAAGCATCCGACGTACAGTTTGGCGCGGTCATGCAGAGAACTCTTCTACCCAGACCCTCCTATGTAGTTCCTTTTTAGGTAGTACATTATAATCCCTTACCAAGAAACCACAACAGACCCAAAAAGGAACTGCATAGGAGCCCTTGGGTAGGTTGTGGAGAATGTGCTCCAGTCGAATGGAAAATGCATTCCCAGTCGAGCGGAAAGGGTATTATACAGCATACCCGCCCTAACCGTATGTTTTCTAGATTCTTGATGAAGTTATGGTATAGGGTACCTCAAGCAGGCCTCATTATGATCGCAAAATGAGATTGGTAATTACAACGAATTATGTAGGCCCCTGTATTACCCTAATCTAAGAACCTTTAACCAAAAGCATTCCTATTTCTAAATCTTCGGACTGCTAAACCTTCTAGCTTCAAAGCAGGGCTGCTCCTAAAAACACTAAAGGCCTCGGAAGTGCCCCTGAACCCTGAACCCTACATCCTAAACCCAAAACCCTGAAGCCTTCCAATATGTACCCTGCCTCTCGCGCCATTGCTGCCGTGCGCTGAGCCTGGGCGGAGCAGTGTCGTTGGGGGCGGCCAGTTCCTCTACTTGCCCGGTCTGATTCCCGGCTTGCCCGCGGAGAGCCCGCGCCTGTGCGCAGTTGTTGTCGCTGCCGGCTACCCGATTCCCCGGAAGATGGATGCGACCCGTGTGCCAGTGCCGGGGCAAATGGATCTTGACCTGGAATTGTCCGAGGGCGAGGTCGAGGTACTGCAACCCAAGCGTAAAGGGCCCAAGGGGGCTGAGGGGAGCTCGCCGGTGAAAAGGGGAGCCCCTGAGGTAGAGGGGGTCTCGCTCGAGGTTCTCAAGGCGCTGTTCCAGGAGCAGACACGTGAGCTGAAGGGCAATCTCAAAGAGGAGCTGCATAGCGCCATCCTCGCTTCGGAGACCAAGATGGGCGAGGTGATCACTAAGGTTCAGCACGATCTGCAGACCAAACTGGATGTGGAAGCCAAGGAATTGGCGGCGGTCAAGGCCTCGCAGGAGCAGTTGCTACAACGGGTTGGAGCGCTAGAAAGAGGGCCTGTGAGTGTGGCCAGCGTGCAACCAGCACGAGGCCCCACAATCCTTCTGGGCGGCTGGAAAGCAGACACGAAGAAAGCTACTATCCTGACTGATGTCGAGGCGGCTCTGCTGAAGGCGGGGGTCCAAGATCTTCTCGATCAGCCGCCATGGGTGCCGGGCGCAAGACACTCGGTCAGCCTCTCTGAGGTCAAACTCAGGCCGGAGGAGAGTGAAGGAGATAGGGCTAGCAGGATGCAGGCGATCATATCCAAGATCAACGACCTCCAGGCTACTGGCCAAAAGCTTGCGTCCGGTAGAACTTTGTGGGCATCGGTTAGCAGGCAACGTACAGAACGAGGACATGGAGCTCATGCCAGTAAGGTGAGGAGGCTGATGCACAATGTGGATGCCAACTTCCAAGAGATTGACTGTGTCTATGTGTCAGGCAGCGTGTGGCATAAGGATAGGTTGGTAGCCAGCGTTGACAAACCGCGTAACGGAGCCCATGTCAAGCCGGGGAGACTGGAGGGCAGCTGGATCGACCTTGTGGCACTGGCGAAGACGACGGGAAAGCCCCTCGAGGAGCTGGAAAGGCTGTGGGAGCAAATTGTTAGCTGACCTCTGTCTGACTCAAGGCCGCTCCAGCTGAGAACGAGGGTGGCACAGGCTGTGGATGCCGACGCTGTTGCTGAGGGAGATGGGGGGATCTCTGAAGGGATGGAGGAAGACTTTGCCGTTGCGTATCCTGAGCGGCCGGGTGTAGACCGAGGGCTGCGGGTAACGAGTCCTAAAGGGACGCATGATGATTTGCCGATTTTGGGGGGGCGGGCTGCCACTCAAGCGACCAAAAAGTGCCGGCCGCAACTGCGGTCGGACGAATACAAGTTCTCGCCTGATGCCCGTGCCCATGCCGATTTGTGTACAGATTTTGATCGTGAGGATCGCGCTTTCAGTTCGCAAGTTGATCCCCAATGTGCTACTCTACCGCCTCGAGGTGAGGCTGACCAAGACCGAGTGAAGACGTCCCAGGTTTGTACTTATAGCCGACAAGGACCCACCATTACAGGGCCTCGATTGTTTGTGCCTGATGTTGTTTATGCACCATCGGACGTCGACCCGG